ACACAAGGTAATCTGAAAATGAAATATTATGCAACTAAACCACATAATTTTGGGAGAACAAGTGTCTCACATTTGTCCTCAATAAAAGTCAGTCAGTTCGCTCGAATCAATGTATGTATCCTGGGAGTTTCTTAAGCTCATGTTCCACAACAAACACTTCATGTTTTATTCGAACAACAGCCTGAACACAATACACAATAGAATCAATCCTTATAGTTTCCAGTGATAGCTCTTCGTTTGGGAAATGATAATGCTATTAAAACGAGAGTAAGAACGCTCCCCTCAAAAAATTGACATGGACCGGTACTGAAAACGAAATGGTCAAAAGGCCCCACCCCAACAGACATGTAAGTACGAATTATGTAAATGTTCTCACCTTCACAACAAACGAAATCCAATAACATAGAATTTCTCCTCGTTATCATGCACAGAAAATCTGCAGATTTAGTTCAACATTTAAATAGGGCTAGCGCCAGTCGAAAAAGGGTTAATATAAGTGTCTTGTGGTTGATACGGTGTGAACGAAACATAGGACCGCGATACCAGAGTGGAAAGAAAAGGTGTGAACTTTTCAGGGATTGAAAGCTGCGAATAAAAGGGAAAAATAACTTGTAAATGAATGTTTGAATGGTTTTCCAAAGGTAGCAGAAAGAGATTTTTCCATGGGGAGATGTGGATCAGATTTTCTCACGGCCACCGAACATATAATATCCGCACAATGGTACGCAGATTACACAGTTCACACCTCAGAATCCTGATTGATATCACATCGGTTATGGTGTGAAGTTTCTTGTGTAATTCTTCAAATCGTTTCACTATTTTGTTTGGAGAACTTTAAATGCGACCTTTGGTTCAGTTATAGGTTCGCTGTTTGCCAATAGTTACAAACTTGATGTTCTTTACAGTATACGTAATAACAGCGATTGTATATCGTTCTCGTGTTTGATGAATCAGGTGCCTCATTGTAAGTTCGATATGGTAAACACTCCACGTGAAATGGACTGTCGAGGAAGTCTGTCCTTGAAATTTAGAATGGTATATGATATTCAATTATTGAGCGAGAAATATTTTTCCTCGACGGTCAGTCATTTTTTCAAAAAAAGTGCCTTTTCTTTAGCACGCATCTTTACGATGAACATAGAGCTTGTGTAATTACTTTGTTCAATACCAGGGAGTATTGCTTCATTGCTTCTAAATAAATCGTTCAAGTGTTGATGCGTTGTCAGAGGAACGTCTACTTGGTATCATCTGTAACAGTTTGAGGCGTCTGGGAAGAGAACATGTAGACTACTACTACTGTTGCTGATACTGTGTGTAAACTTTTCGATTTTGAAGGATTTGAAACTTTTCCGTGCGCATCACAATATGCATTCTCAATTTCAGCACTGGGATGCAAATTTCTACGTTGTTATCCCGTAACTATTGGCAAATGTGTTCCGACGATTTCTACAAAGGCATAGTTGTTGACAGTAAGGGCTTAACTGATTCCCTTACATACGCAATATGGTTGGACATCCGAAATAAGTCGTACGTGCTGTTTTTGCTCAGTGAATTTCGTACCGGCTCTTCGATGTTGGCAATCGGCATTGCGCTATAGGTTACTCTATCATTTTTAGCCGTTTATCTTCATACAAGATTGACGGTTTTCGTTTGTTAAACTCTAACGACCGTTCGGTAGTCACGGGGTCAAACCTTAAGACGTTTTGTGCTCCTATGTGTTAGGGGTGTGTCGAAAAATTGCACCTATTCTCTCTTACACCGTGGGTGTTAAAGTACAATCTGAGGCCCCTAAAAAACTTATTGTAATCTGATTAGTGATCGTCAGGGCTATCAAACTGTAACAAGTAATCATGGGAGAAGACCGATGGTTAATCAGGAAAATGTATTGTACATAACGACATGGACAGGGGTATATTCAGATGGGGAAAATTGACAGTATATGAGTCTTCATTTGTCCCCGAATTCTTCATCCGTGTTGTAAAAGTCGTTCACTTGTTAAACCAGTCGGATGAGCTATAAAAAAAGGAAACGGAAACTTCGTCAGAGTCGAGCACATTGAAATGTGGGGTCTAATTCAAATACAACTTTTTCTACAAACAAATGTCAGTGGCTGCTAAACAATGAAAAATCCTGTATACATATGACTCAAATAGATTATGGAAACGTTTCACTTGTATAGCGTTGGCGCTCAATTCGGTCTCAGTGTTTGCAAGCCACACAGAAATAAGTTTGTACAAGTGGTCTCTGACAATTAGGTCTCGAATACCAGTCATCATCAAAAAGTTGTGCAACCTGATCCATGCAAGCAGCGCAACCTGATGCATTTCGCAAAGTTATGAAAACTGTGATCAAGTTTACCCCGTGGAAAAGAGTTACTTCATTACCGTTCCGCCTGAAAACCCATCTAGACTCTCATTTTGTGTGTACCCATAAAATCGAATATTGGTTCATGTTTTCTTAATTGACTATTCACATGATCTCGTTTCGTTGACGGAGTATATGAACTACGGTGATATAGCGAACCCTTTTATGCTAATTGGAAACACCTATCCCTTCAACTGCTGAGTTGTAGGTGTGGAGGCCGAATACAAGATTTGCGAAAGAAACTTCCAAGTAATTTGCAACTGACCGATTAGTGTTCAAATTTCATCTCACCCTCAAGAACACCGACCTGCGGTTAGCGCTCAATGTGCTCAAACATTCTACTTAAATAGAAGCAAGTCTTACTCAGATGGTTGGCAACCTTGCAAGACACTAATTTTTTCGAATTGTTTTGATCGATTATGCGCCAGATCCGATAAATCTCCTGTTCATTCGGCCCATCACACATTCGAAAAGGGTTAAGATTTAATTTTTAAACACATCCGTGGTCATATGTCACACTCAGAGTTTGAACCCCAAGCTTTCGGCCTACAAGTTGTGTGTGAGTGATAACAGAGTTATCGAAACCAAACCGAGGCTGGTGTGAAATACCTCTCGGAGTCTGTCCATAAACCGTCTTCGTTGACCGGCATGTAATCTTTTGGTCCAATATCGATGAGCAGAGTCACTGTTGACAACCTGGTGCCACCAATCGAAATCGTATCAACTAATCAAGCAGTCAATGCAGAATTTCACGTTACGCAACATTCGCAGATCATTGTGATGCAAGGCTTTGATCGGAATTATTATCTGTCGTGTTGTATCCCTTTTCATTATCGGCGCTGTAGACTAGCTAACCGACACGGAAGACGGAAGATAAACAATTCTGAACAGTTGTTTCTGTTCAGCTCGGTGTGGACCGGTTGGCATGCTAGTAACACACTTTTCATTCAAGAGGTTCTGGGGTTCAAATCATGGATTAGTCGGTTTATTTAACCCATTGATGAGCTGTAATTGGTGCGAACCTCTACTCCAGTAATTCCCGAGTATATGATAGACTGGATGAACCAAGCATGGTTTTACGCGGGGATGAAGTTTAAAGGGTGGTCATCTGATTCATTATTACTTTTATCTCACACCATGACCAGAGACTTAACTTAGTGAGTGATTTGGGGGAAATCATCTNCATCTGGCTACCCACCTCACACATCCGCGCACGTTGCGGCCGTAACCAAAGCCGGTCTATAGTAACGCCCTGACACAGGTGACGGTAAATCCCTAATGGTGAACGAAAACAATGCAGGGTTGAGCATTTGAGGATAGCGTGTATGTGCAAGTGCAGTATCGATTCTGAACAACAGTAAAATGAATGACAAGGACAACAACAACAAAAACAACAATGGCCTAGACGGGGCTGACCTAACCTAGTCATAAGAACCGCAGGTTTCTTTCGTGTTTGGATGGCAAAGATGAAGATGAGTCCTCAAGCTGGGGTCGGAGCGGGAGGAAAGAGACATATGCATGAGTTTAGCGACCGCATACCGCTTGACAATAACAGAGGCGCGTGGGCACACACATGGGTGAAAATGACTTGTGGTTTCATTTGCAACAAACGACTTTGTCGGTCCTATCTGTGAGGTGGGATTTTCGTTGTGATGAGAAATCAACACGAATAGATAGATGAAAACGGCAGATGGCATAGGTCAAGTAGCCAGTAATGAAAGGAGTACAAATCAGTGTGTGTGTGTGTTTGTGACAGGAACCGAGATGAGAAATGAGAATGTGGAAATCAGTTCCGAACAAGCAAAATAGGAACGATCGGTCAGCGCGAAATCCAATGAACGTGTTGAGCGGAACCACGCAAAAACAAAACAAACAAACAATTCGATGTAAAGTAAAAATGAAATGAAAAGAAATGAGAATAGAACAATCAGGAAATATGAATGCTCAAAACATGCGAGCGCGTGCATGGCAAATGACGATCAAAATCGAAAAAGAAAGCAGGGTTGTAACCGAACCAAGGTATGCTTTCCTCTCTCTCATCAGCTTCACTACTATGACCAGTGCACGAGTCGCGTAAAGGTATCGGTACTGGTGTGATTTGCATGCTCCATACTTTGCTGCTATGGATCGATAAACCCTCGGTTAAGATCGATGCAACAATACAGGACAAAATGAAGAAGATGCGTGGAGCATGTGCAAGCGGGAGGAAAAAGCGGCTGCATATGAAATCGGGAAGAACATGATGAATTGATGCAAGATGGAGCTCAGACTAAGCATATGAATAAAAAAGATTCATTCTGGTGCCCAGGATTTGGAGAGAGGAGGAATCAAGTTGAACGTCAGTCAATACTTATCACCAAAACGCGCACATGCACGCATAACCGATGAACGCGGTCTCCTGTGAATCGAAATTGATGAGAAAGGTGTGTTGGTGTCTGTTGGTGTCATTCTTGAATAACAGGGATACACAGAGCAATGACCCAGGTGGGGAAAAACAGTTCTAATCAATGCACTAGGAATATCGATATAATCCGATGCACCATACCAAAAGGGCATCAAGCCCAGGCATGAAATCGAACGGAACCCAGTCCCAACAAAATGAAGGAGAATGATTACTCTTATGAAAGGGGAGAAAATCACGTGTTCGTGGATTGTCGCCCACTCGATGTTAGGACGGTCTCATTCCTCTGATTTGGCCAACCTAATTGATGCCTTCGACGGGCCGCCTCTCGAGTTGCCTGCACTGCGGCTTCGTTCGCCTCACACAACTCCTTAATCACACTATCCAGTTCGCTTAGGTAGTTCTTTGGATCATCAGGATCTTTATCCGCACTGGTCCCGGTAATGGATGAGTTTGATTGATTCGTGATCGAACTTCGTGCGATCGGTTCAGTTTTGTGCACTGTCCGGGAGTTGGAGTTTGCGGGCGAGGAGGAGGAGGAGGAGGAATGCCAATCGGCCGCATTGATTCGATTGACCATGGCCGAGACTGATGGAGTCGGATTGATGTTTACCTGGGCGCAGTGAACAGATTCCTTTTTGGCCGTGCTCGGATGCG